GATGAGAGCTCCATATGTGTGGTGATGCACAGCTATGTTTGGGATTGTTTCCCCAATTAAGCGTTTATTGATAAATTGACGCTGTGATACCATTGCAATGGCAGAGTAGTACCAGTGCTTCACTGTTTCCTTTTTTTTTTTTTTTTAATTATTACATAATTAGGGCAGAGCAGCTTTCCCTCTACAGGGTTTACGGTCCACGTGGCAGAGTAGTACCAGTGCTTCACTGTTTCCTTTTTTTTTTTTTTATAAATAATTACATAATTAGAGTTTGTTAAACCTAGCATTAATATATACTGTGCATCAAACATGCATGAAATGGAGAATGGACTTATTAGACTGATCACAGCACAATGTAACACTTACCAGTAATGACATCTTTCAGCTGCAGTCTGTGGAAAGCTGTTTTGCCATTGATGCCACGCCAGTTGAGTTGTTTGGCAAGGGAGTTAGTAAAACAATGCTTCATAACCCGCCAAACGCTATCCTTAATGTCAACTCCTCCAATGACGCTCAATGCAGTAATCTGAAAAAGATCATTTAAAAGCCATGGATACATGTTTTATATCAACACTACTCACAGTAACACTATTCAGAATTTAAAAAAGACATATCACTTCTCCCTTAGTTGGCATTTAGGACTGTCTCATTGTTGGATACTGGCTTTCTTAACCTGTTTTCTACTGTAGGACTGCCACTCCATCACTGATGCGGTTCCATATTCAACTAACAAGGTGATACAGTGGCAGTGCTACAGCAGAAAACAGTTCCATCATTTTGGAAACTACTTGGCTGAAGACAGGGATGGAAGTAAAATGAAAACAAAGCCAAATTTACCAATCATGACCTTGTCTCTCCAACAGTAAATGACTAAAATCAAAAGCAATATCTAAGTAGCATCCATAAGGGAGAGGACAGAATCGCTGCTGTCCAACTTAGGTGGCTATAGAAAAATATTGGGCCAAATTGGGTAACCCATCCTTTTAAGTGGTCATGAAATGGAAAGGTCATTGATGTTTACACATATAAGGGGTTAGTCTACAGTAAATAAATGCTGCAAGTTTAATACTTCAGTGCTCCCCAGTTTGAAATATATTTTAGTTTTCCACCCTTCTAAAATGCCAGGATTTGAAATTTGTAGAATCGTGATTTCATGATTTTTCGAGACATGCCCCTTTACATGTGTATGTAAATCAAGAAGGTGCGCTCATGCCTGTCCATGAATTACAAGAGCGATATTTGGCTTCAAGATGTAGAGAAAGATCAACCAATGTTGGTCTGTCCCTGGACAAACGGCACCTCCAAAAACTGCACCTTATTTACCATTTTGTTTTTGAGGTCAGCCTCTTCCCTCAGACGTTTTTCCAGAGCCAGCAGGGAGGTAGGATCTTTTAGCGGCAGTATATCTCTCTCAAAGGGATCCTGTCCACGAGCAGGTTCACCTGTTTTCTGCATGGTCATTAGAATAATCTTGAGATGATCCATCATCATTTCTTGATTTGAGAGAAGTCTATACAGAAGAGCTAAAAATAAAGACAAACATACATAAAGAAATTCCAACTGAAAAAATTAATAATACTTTAACAAGGATTTTATTTCGTTATTATAAATAAAGACTATTTAGTTGTTTCAGTTTGTTATTTGCCTAATAAATGACAATAAAATTTTTTGTTTTAAAAAAGTTTTTGACAGATTCCCAAAATATTTGTGTTTTCTCTTTATTATGACAGCTGGTCTAATAAATTTGTAAAGCTCTGTATATGTGAGAGAGGTATATAAAGTAGAGACCTGCACTCCCGTGGGAAAAAACGCAACAGAGTGCAGCACGGGACTAGATTTGATGGCCAAGTGTGGATCCGGGTGGTAAGGTACTCGTGTGTGTGAGTTGCGGGACTACCGCAAAATATAAAAATAAAACATCTAAAAACAAATAAATTGTTATTCAACTATTGCATAAAAACAACTAAAACATAAAAATAAAATAAAAATGATTTACAGGTGCAAGCATAGGCAGAGTTTCTATTTATAACATGTTTTTATAGCGTTGTGCAATGTAGCCAATCACAGACATATTTGTTGATTTCTTGAACGCAATGGCCAATCAGATGCATTTAAGATAGAATCCACTAACAAACGTCTGAGGTTTTGTTCAGTGCTGAATTCTGCATGCTTGCAAAACCTCTGATTATAACGAAGTGTAGACATTATGAAAGATTCATTGTGCAGTCAGCTTCATTGATAATAAAGGAGCTTTGTGAGATCACGATGAACTGAGATGTCAGTTTTTTTTAGGAATTATTAAGGGAGTGCACTTTGCACACATTCTGCCATGCCAAAACATGCACACAGTAGCCTATGCTTGCTTTTATGTTTAATTAACAGTGGTTTGTGAATGTTGAGGCTTTAATAACAAATAATTTATTGGGAGCGCTTATACGTAGGTGTGTAGGTTGTGGTTAGGCGACATGTAACGTGAAATTATTTTATGGACATATAGACAGGGTTCGTACACATTTTTACCAATAAATTTCCATGACTTTTGAGACAATATTCATGACCTAAATGTTCCATTATTTTACAATAAGAATAAAAATCTGTTCAAATTATCATAGCATATGTTAACTAAAATGAATGACTATTAATGCTACTCGTTTGCTTTCTTGTTTTAGTAGTAAGTACAAGCTGCAACTGCGCTAGACGTTACTTCACATTTCACATATCACATCACTGAATATTATCATTTATTTAACTGTGTGGCCAGGATGGCCATTTTGGTGTCATTTTGTGTGTATTTTTGCTGCTTAAATGCAACAAGCTGCGCTTTAGAGCCCTGCATTTCAGCCCGAGCCCAACGGCCCCAACTTATTTATGGCTTCGGGACAATTTTCACGTCATAGCTCAGACACGGGCCCGGCATCAGGCTTGCTTCTTTATTTTTATATTTTAGATATCCATCAATTATTATGGTGATGACAAAGATTTGCCGCGCTGGTGGAAACAACGGGACCGTGCTACCGCAACTATCAAGAGTGGCTCGGACGGTGTTTAGTGTTCAGCAGCAGCGAGTGCTGGAAGAGTTCCATGTTAAAGCGCACGCAAAGCTTGCTGCAAAACGCCAGCAAGTAATTACCATGATGAATGCCCCATGGGAAATAGAATATTCGCAGGGTTTCGGTTCATTTTTGTGAAGCGCTCCTGCTCAAGACCGAGACAGCAGAAAGCGTATCCTGTTTGTTTTCTAAAAAAGCACAACGTAAGCTGATATTGTGAGTGCACACAAATAAAAGTAGACCCTTAACCGTCCCGAATGATGTATTACTCTTACCTTTATGAGAAAACATGACGGTTGTTTCCACTGTTATAAGAAAAAAATGTAAGTGATCGTGCTGGCGACTCCATGTCCTGCAAAGCGCGCTTTAGCTTCTCTGCACAAACGATTGGATACGCGCCTAATAGCACACATTTATCTAGGTTAACCATTTAAACTAACATTGTTTTTTAAAGCATTTTATATAGGCCTATAGATTTTATTTTAGTCAAGTGGTGATGATTTGAGAAGGCTAAATCGATCAAACATAGGCTATGATTAACTCACTGTCTGCCACTGGCCGCTTGGTCGTTACTTTAAAAAAACAAAAACTTGAATTTAACAAA